GGGGGAAAACGGGGACGGCACAACACGGGTGACCCACAAAAGAAACCAAGCCACAGACACCTTGGGGTATCCAGCCACATGCTAAAGACATCTTTAACGTGGGCAAGGAGAGGCAGGCAGGAGATGGCACCACAAGACCAGAATTACAAAGACTGCAGATGAGACTCAGCTCTAGAGCCCTCTCCCTGCTCTCAAACCCAGCCCAAGCTAGCAGCGACCACAAGTCAGACTGGGAGGGAGCTGCCAAGAGTTCTGGAAGCCACAGTTAGTCTCATCCTGCTTCCCAGTGGAGTGGGCAGCCTGCCACAGCCTCTGGCTGTCTCCCATCCCTGTCACAAGATCCCCAAGAGGCCGAGATCCGAGCTGTGTGCCCAGCTGGCCAGCAGCCATGCCCATTGATGGAGGCCAGGCTGGGATTCAGATACTCAATCTCTCGGTATGCTCCACCGCTCACATCCTCCACACTGCTTGCAAGGTCCTTTAAGTAGGAACCTTTCTGGACACACAGAGCATCAGAGGGGATAATGGAGTTACCCTGGGGAAGAGGAGCAATCCAAACCTGGTCCTTCCACCTCAACCCTGCACTTCCAGGTGGTCAGAGCAGGACACAGACCAGCAGCAGCTCTTCATCACCAACCTCATTCTCCTCCAACTCCTGGACAAAGAAGGCCTCTCCATTGTCACCCAGCTTCATGTGCAGGTCCACAGGCTCCCCGTTGATTTCAATGTCAACCTAGCAAGGCGCAGAAGCAGCCTGTCCATCACCCATCAGTGATGGAAGGCATTTCCCAAGGGAGTAGACGGGTTGGGATTGCTCGTGGGGCTGACAGCCACCCAGAATCCCCTCCAAGCATTGCCAAGCACCCCTTTCAGCAGGGCTTCCATTCCCCTCGATCCCATAGCCCACATAACCTATGGGTTATGGGAGATCCTGGGTGTGGAGCCCCGTCCCGGGGCAGGCACCACTCACCACCTTCTCCCTGGAGCGCAGCACTCCCAGCTTCCCGAAGCGCACATGGAATGGGGAGCACTGGAAGGAGTTATCAGGCTGCCTCACCACCACCACGTCGATGCAGCCCGTCAGCGTGGCGGGGTTCAGGCCCTGGTACAGCTCCTTCACCGTGACAAAGACCGTCTCAGCAAGCTGCCCCACGTAGTTCATGGTTTGAGACTGCAACGAGAGACAGGAACAGACTCGGATGGGGAAGAGGGCTCCAGCTGCTCACTGCAAGGTGAGGTCATGAGGAGAAGTCATCCCGTAGCTGCAGACACAGCCCCACCACGGGGACAGGCGAGTTTCCCCAAGGAAACCGAGGCAAACACATGAAGATCCTTGCAGAAGATCACCAGCGAACAGGAGAGAAGCCAGAGCACTAGTTACTACCTCCAGCTTGGAGGAGACATGCCTTTGGCAGTGGGATGCACCATCACAGTTGTCCCTTGGGAGGGCAGACACCACCTCACAGCAACACGGTGTAATCAAGCTGTCAACATCCAGCTCAGACAAGAATTTGGTGGGCAGGAGACTTCCTGCCCTGCACTGTCCATAAAGAAAAACAACAAAGAGCCACCGAAGCCCAGAATCCTCCATAACTCAGTGCAGAGGTGGGAAGCCCAAGGAGCTGCTGCATTCACCACATACTCACTTTGAACAAAGTCCAAACCTAACATGTCCCACTCAGAGGGGAAGGCATCACTGAATCTGGTCCAGTCCCTGGGCTGGAGGAGGCCCTTGTGCCATTAGCTCAGCACTTGGGGTCAGCAGGACAACAATCTTGATGTCAGCACATCACACCAGAGGCTGGGAACCACATGGCTTCCCGAGCTGCCAGCTCTGGAGCCCACCTTGCCCCAGGGAGAGGATGAGGACACAGGATGAGCACTTCAGAAAGACCATGGATGAGCTAAAGGAAGCCTCTCATGCCAGCAGCACAGTCAGCCAATGGCACAGTGTCCGGGGGGGCTCTCAGCACAGCCCCTGGTGCACACCCAGCCCACGGGGTGGCTGGTGAGAGCTGGTTCCTTACCCAAAGGGATGAGGACAAGCCCTCTGCAGGCACCCAGCTTCTCTGATCTGCTTTGCACAAGCTCAGCCTCATCCTGTTCCCAGCCATCCCTCCTGGAAGGTGGTTTGCACGTCCCTGCTCCATGTCCTGGCCCCCACCTCTCCCTGACAGACGGGAATAGCTCAGAGCCCCGAGGCTCCCTAGGGCGGGATGGGGGGAAGCACGAGCCTGTTCCCGAAGCTTCAGCAGCTCTGCTGTGAGCGGGGCCAGTGTCAGAGCCACTCACCAACCTGCTGAGCCCAGCTTTCCCGGGACAGGCAGCATTCCAGCGGCAGGGCCTGGAGCACGCAGCACAGAGCTCCTCGCTGCAGGGAGAGGGGCAACAGTCGGGCTGGCCCCAGTGCTCCCAAAGCAGCGCTGGGGGGCTCCCAGCTGGGATGGGCATTGACACAGACCTGCGCTACGGGGAATCACGGGCAGATAAACTTGCACAGCCTGTGGTGTTTGGGGAGGGGGCTTGGAAAGAGCCCCCAGGAACAGCCCTACGCTGAGACGCGCCTTCATGGTGACGTGGAGCGCACTGCAGCCACCCAGCCTCATGGCAGGGCTCCATCCCCTCTGCAGGGCCAGCATCCCCACGTGGACTTCGTGCCCCCTGGCTTCAGAGAGCAGCAGGCCCATCCCCACACCTCTGCCTGCACACTGCTGGGGCTGTGCTCAGCCCCAGAGCTCGGGGCAGGGAGACAGGATGGCTCTGGTATAGCTTTTGGCTTACTGAGTTTAACTCCCTGTGGGCTTCACCCAGGACTGCTGGAGGAACAGAGAGAAGAGGCTCAGACTCTGCAGCCCTCAGCCCCACCATGGATGGAGCAGGTCTGTCAGGGACACAAGGAGCAAGTTACACTCTGAAAGGACATCAATAGGTGGACGGGGTAGGAGAAAGGGTTTTCAGGCCACCTCGAGGACACCAACCCACATTCAACGAATAAACCCTACAGAGGAACGGGGCGTCCCCTCCCTCAACCCCAGGAT